GTTCCTAGTCATCAGGTAATCTATATGTTTCTTCCTAACCTACTTAAGGTATCTCTGAGTGTTCAAAGTTGTACAGGCTTAGAAAATTGATGATTTCACTTGTGATTGGCCTACCTGTTGCTCACATTTACCATTAACTGTTGCCACTAGCCCTGGATAGCCCAAAGTTCTCCCTGTTTCTAAGGAGTGATGAGCCTCCAACTGACCTAATAAGCAACACTTCAAGAGCAAAGAAAAACAAAATGAAAAAAGGAAATCACCAAAATTCAGAGAGTCCAAAGGCTAGTGGGAAAGGGCCAGAGAATGAGTGACAGGGTCAGGTTGGTCGGGCCTGCAGCCTCAGTCCGCCTGGTGTCTGGCTGGCTCGATCCGGATTGCGGGTGGGGTGGGGTGGGGTGGGAGTTGCAGGGAGCAGGTATTGGTTCTTAAAAGCTAGAGAGCCCCTTTCTTCCCCCACAATAGGGTGGGTGGGAGTTCATGCCAAGAGGCTTCACGTAGGCCTGCCTGTTGGTCCTGGATGGGTGAAGGGTAGAATTGTGTCAACGTATGTGGGGCAGAAGCTCCTACTTTCTCCAGACTTAGTCTTAACACTTGGTTGCAACTCTTCATTGTTACCTTCAGACTTCAGCTGAAATCACAGTGTATACTTGGTCTTTTCTATTCCACAAGTTCTTAATTCTGATTTTTTTCTTCTACACCTGTGAATCTGCCAAATATTCTTTTCCAGTTCCGAAGCTCCTGACATTTACAACTAGCATTTCAACTTCTTAGATACTGATTTCAACTCAGCAGTCATTCAAGGGCAAAAATACAAGAAAGACTTCCCAAGCTCTCTATTATCTTGTTCCTAACAACTTTTGTTATTTTCCCATGCTGATAAACATAGTTACATATGTGTGCAAGAGAAAGAAAGAGACAGGATCAGAGATGGAGACAAACATAGATATGTAAATATTATTTCTAGAAATTTCTTGTCATTGCAATGAAATATCATTTACAGATAATAGGATATTCTTCTTATGGACAAATCCATAAGAGGCTACCAAAAAAATTACTAAATCTTCCAAAAATTTAATCCTCAGTATTAACAAGGGTTTGGGCAAAAAATGTCACTATATTTATGATAGAAAAGTAAACACATACATAATTTTGAGTGTACTATGTATACTATTTTCTATGAAAAATATAAATTAATTTGTACTATGCTACAGTCAATCTGCAAGTTGAAAAGTATTTTTTAAAAATTTGCCAGAAGACATGTGTACTCACCAGAAGAGGGAGTACTCACCAGAAGAGGGAGAGAACACCACCTCCAATGGGGAAAGTTGATTCTGCAATCCCTTCTATCCCTTCTCCTCCATTTCTCCATCTTGTATGGATTTTGGGAACACACATGGGTACCCAGCAACTTTTTATTTACTTATTTTATTTTAATATTATTATTATTATTTTTACCAGAGGACATGTGTGCTCAATAGAGAGAGATAGGGCTGAGGGGAGTGAGAAACCACCCCCATGGCAGATGGTCATATCACAATCCCTTCTCCTCTATTCTCCTCTCGGGATCTTGGGCACATGTGCACATGTGCCCGGCGTGAGTTTAGGCCACTGGCTCTGGTACTCAAACCGTGGTCGACTACATGGGAGTCCAGCAACATAGCCATTACATCAACTGCTGGTCCCTATTTATTTTTACATTTTCTCCAAACATTTACTTTACATATCAAAAAATTTTTGCTCAAACTCCCATAGTTATTGATAGTTAATAAGCAACTTTCAAAATCTCAAAAAACTGAATTTTAAAGATAATGTTCAAAATATTTGTTATAATTTTGTTTGTGACTCTAACAGAGACAGTATGGTTTTAAATATTTTTGAGAAAATACTTACATATCAGGACCAGCAGTTAGTGTAATGGCTATGTCGCTGGACTCCCATGTAGTCAACTGCGGTTCGAATCCCGGACCTGAAGATTTAAACTCATGCCGGGCGCATGTGCATGCGTGGCCAAGATCCTGAGAGGAGAAAGGAGGAGAAAGGATTGTGGTGTGGCCATCCCTTCTGGGGGGTGATTTCTCACTTTCTCTCTCTCTCTATTTCTGCACTTAACTCTCCAAAAAAAGAAAACACTTACATATCAACTACTCAAACTGTTGAAAAGCAAACACCCAGCACACAATTCACACATAAATCTTCTCAATTCAGCCCTGCCTACCAAGTATTCTGTGATATACCATCTGCTAGCAAAGATATGTGTCTTTTTCTTCCTTCAGAATCTTCTTCAAAATAATCACCTGGTGTGGCTGCTCTTTTACAGTCTCTACTGACTACAATGCTGGATTGGAAAAGTCCAGGTTATTTTATGGTATGAATTTTTTCATATACCTTCTCTAATCCTCTCTGCCAGGCAGAACTGTTTATAGTGCCAGGATATCTTTCTAAGAGCTTCTGTTGGCTTACTTGTGATCAACCTTAGTTCCATAGTTTTCTGGTTTAATCTTCAAATATGACATTCCAGTCAAAGCTGTAATGAGTATTTCCAATATCTGATTCAAGGCAACAGGTATTATTGAACTTATGCAAATGGCCATTGTGCCACAAAATAAGAATACTTCCAAATATTTTCTAATTACAGAGGACTTAGGAAGGGAGAAAAGTTTATGTTTCCATTTAAAGAAACAGACAAAGGGAACAGCAGGTGGCATGGTGGTTAAGGCACTGGACATTCCCACATGGTTGACTACGGTTCAAGTCCCAGACCTGGTGGCTTGCTTTCTCACTTCCCCTCTTTCTGTGTCTCTGTCAAATTAAAAATAAATGAATGAATAAATAAAACTTAAAAAAATAAAGAAACAAACAAGAAGAAAAAACATTTTAACAAATTGCTAAACCCATCAACAGCTCAAAAGAAAGCAAAATTCTTAAATTGGGAAAACAAAGCATAGTAAAGAAAAAGACAGTAATGTTTTACTCAAAAGTCATAAAATTCTATTTCACCAGTTCAGTCTTATGCACTTAATCTTTCTTCTGTTCAATTTGCACTGTTACTGTGGTCCAATCTTTCCGTTTAAATCCTGGAAGTTAGCATTTAACATTATTATTGATATTTCTTGTCCCTAGCATTAAGTTGGTCAGTTTCTTGATTGCTTTTTGTTCTCTTATTTCTGTATGTGTGTCTTTAGTCTTCCTGGTAAAGCACTCTTTTCAGAACTTCTTGAAGAGCTGGTTTGGTGCTGGTAAATTCTTTCAGGTTTTGTTTATCTGAGAATATGTTTATCTTTTCTTCCCATATGAGGTATAATCTTGCTGGGTATAGTATTCTTGGTTGAAACTGTTTTTCACTTAACACTTTGAACGTATTTCCCCATTCTTTCCTTACTCGCATTGTTTCTGACAGGTCTGATGTTACCATGATGGGATAACCTTTATAAGTAACCTGACTGTTTCTCTCTTGCCAACTTTAGTATCTTGTCTTTGTCTGTGGATTTGGCCAGCCTGGCTATGATATGCCGGGAGACGATCTTTTTGGGTTGCTTCTATTAGGGGTCCTTTGTATTTCTTGGGTCTGGATATTTGAACTCGCATTGTTTCTGACAGGTCTGATGTTACCATGATGGGATAACCTTTATAAGTAACCTGACTGTTTCTCTCTTGCCAACTTTAGTATCTTGTCTTTGTCTGTGGATTTGGCCAGCCTGGCTATGATATGCCGGGAGACGATCTTTTTGGGTTGCTTCTATTAGGGGTCCTTTGTATTTCTTGGGTCTGGATATTTGAATGCCTCTTTAGATTTCCAGGATTTCATGGAATAGAGGATCAATGCCTTTATTAGTTTCCTCACCTTCTGGGACACCGATTATCCGGATATTTGGGCGCTTAACGGTATCTAGTATTTCTTGTATAGTAGTCTCACTTTTTCTAATTATTTTCTAGTTCTGTTTGTTATTTTTTTCTAGGTCAGAGGTTTTGCCTTCAACCTCCAAGATTTGATCTTCTGCATGGACTAATCTGCTTTTAATATTTTTGAGGGAGGTTTTGATTTCCTGTATTGCAGCCTTCATCTCTGACAGCTCCATTTGATTCTTTTTTATGGAGTGTATTTCCTCTTTCAGATAGTGCGAGAACTTCCTCACCTCCTAGAACTCACCTCTTTTCTCCTGTATCTTCTAGAGCTTACGTCTCTCAGCTCTTGCATCTCGTTTAGCTTTGTCACTATGAATATTCTGAATTCTCTATCAGATATTTCCACAAGTTCCACTGTACTGTCTGTGGATGATGAAAGATTATTTTCACTTAAGGGAGAGATATTTTCTTGGTTTCTCATATTTCTTGTGCCTCTGTGGTGGTTTCTGGTCATTCTGTGACAAAATCTCTTCTCTACTGTGTTTTGCAACATGGTATCCAACAGAAGAGATTATGAGTTCAGATTTATAAAAAGAAGTTTCTTCCTTAAAGCAGGAGTTTCAATAAGCATAAAGGATTTCCATGACCCTTGTCCGAGCATTTTGGGGGTCTCAAAGATGAGGTTTAGAGCATAACTTCAGTTGCCTTGGTCCCTGAATGTGCCAGAACACACCTCAGATTTAAAATGACTTCTTGTTTGAGTGTTTCAGGGTTCTAGGAGATGAAGTTTAGAGCATAACTTTAGTTGCCTTGGTCCTTCACTGGTGTGTTTTTCAAGTCACTGAATCTATGACTCAAATTGTGCAGTTGGCTATGAGAGATCCAGCCACTTTAACCACATTGACTGACTTCCAGCATGTTTTTTCAAGCTACTGAGTACAAGTTTGGAAACAGTTGGCCATGTGGGATTTGGTTCTCTTAACCAACAGGCCATGGAGCCAGCTGACTGGATCATAAGCATGGACATACACAGCATACTCAGGGAGGTATCCACATATAAGCTCAGAACCTTCCCATATGGGTCAGGCTTGCAGTGTTGTGCCTTACCACTGTACCACTATGCATCCCCTATTTAAAACATTCTTTAAATCACAGGAAAATTTTTGATGGTTAATTTTTAATAAAAATCATGACATTTACTTGTGTTCTCCATTTGGTATACACAGCATATAAGATGTAGCTTATGATTTCAAGATTGTATTACAAAAATAATTTTTTTTTTTTTGGATATGAAACAGGAAGCTTTCTTCATGCAGGGAGACTTGAATGGATCTTGAAGGAAGGGTAAAATTAGAAGAGACAGGAATCAAGGATGGAATTCATGCTGGAGAAAAGGGGGCAGATAATGGCCAACCCAAAAGCTAGAAAATATTTGGCTTATTCAGATGAGGCTGGAAGCTCCTGCTCTGCAGTCTGGCTCTGCAGACTAGAAGCATAAAACCAACTATGTCTTCAGACTGGAATGAAACAGAGTTCATAGAAAGGTGGAAGAGTGACTGCTGTTTTTTCAACTGGGGTGATGTCAATATCCTTTGGATCAACCAGAGGTTTCAAGGTAAAATTCTGTAAAATGTAGGTTAAGACTAAAAACATCTCCATTCGGGCCAGGCTCTCTCCAACACAAATCCTTTTTCCTAAAAATGACATAAAAAGTATTGACTGAATTCTGTTTCTGAGTTAGCACACATAGAGGCTTAAATAAATATGGAATGAAGTAATGTATTAATGAATGACTCATTCATCTAGGACTTCTATTTATACCCAAAGCTGGTTTCCTTCATTTCCCTAGCACATATTTCTCTACGCATGGTATATGAAAACATATTTTCTGTACCCCTACATAGGATAGCTGTGCTGAAGCTTGCCAGTGACATCCTTCTACATATACACATACACACACACACCCATGGTTACCTATCTCAACTAGCATGATAAACAAAATAGCACTTTTCAATCTACCTCTGACTTAACACTCAACAATAGATTTACTTTTCCTCATCTGTATCCTAAAAGATCATCTTAACCTCATTACATACCAGCTGAAAATTTTTTCAAGAGTTCACCATTGCTGGGTATAAAAATAAACATAAAGAACTGGCCAGAAGCAATTTTTAGAGTCTTTTCTTTCCATTCCTTCTATCTAGTTCCCCGTACTGAAGCCACTACTATTCACCAATTTCCACACAGATGGGCAATTTCAAGTTTTATCTCAGTTTCCTGTCATTCCTCTTACTGAAATGGTCTTCCCCCTGCTCTGTTTGTGGATACTCTGTATATTCTTTGAGATGGAGCTCAGAAGCCATTTATTTTATGCAAACTTATTTGATAGGCACAGAATATATAATTCACTACATTGTCTGTTTTCTACAACACTCATTTTGCTTCCAATACAGCATATTTCACAGGAAATTAAAAGTATTCATCTGTCTCACAGACTGGAATGTAAGTTCTTAAGGTAAGGCTTTAGGTATTGTAATAATATCCACAGTGTCAACATAAAAACAGACCTGTGAGCCATATGAAATGAACAGCGAGCTGGAGCAGGCTCATTATGCAACAGGAAGAAAGATAAGGAAGAGTATAGCAGTGGCTTGTTTTCAGGTTCTCTCTTAGCATTGCTCATGATCCTAGGACCACAATCCTAATTGTGGCTTGATACCTATTGTCTTAGACTCTCACTCAGGAGCAAATCTATTTCAGTCCCTGTTTCAGTTATTTCAGCAG